GCTTGAGGGTTTTTAATTCTTTTTCTTAAATAGTTGGCAAAAAAATGATGCTGACTACCTGTTTGTCTGGTGTGATATAGACATATGTATTCTTCGTTGCACTCATTTGTAAAAGAGGAACTTGCAATGATTTTTGCCTGAACGCGACTAGATTTGCTGCTGTACAAATAATATAAATTAAATATTCTTAATTATTTTAGCTCATGCTAGAAAAGATTCAGGACAAAGGGGAGATTGATGCAGTGTGCCTTACAATGGCCCTACTGATTTCTCTACTGGCCCTTCCTCTGCACATGGTCAATTAGAATTGAAAATCCTGTGCTGATTTCATTCGCTGGAATTTTTAAGCAGGTCAGGAAGAAAGATGTTATTGAAAGGAAAAGTCTCATCTAAATAAGAAAAGAACACGTGGCCATCTGGTCTAACTGTACCATGCCGAAAGTCATTTTGGCTCAGCCGTAGTTTGGTCTTTGCAACAGTTTGCCGAGATATCAAACAGAAATCTGTTTACATTAAAACACTCTGTACTTTTTATCTATAAAAATGCAACGTGCAGTTCTCTTCCTATCTGTAATGCATGAGCTCATTTGACCCCATTACCTTTTTGAGAGTGCCTATGTTTCTGGTAGGCTCTCAAGTTACTTCTGCTGTGCAAAGGTATATGTGAAACAACCAATTTTTTGAAAGTTTTGGAAGTAATCTGGTGCATTTTATTCTTATGATTAAAATTTGCATTTCTGCTTGAGCTAGAAAAGGGTCAAACAAACAGATACAAGAAGAGGAAGCATAGGGGAAGAGGGGAGAGGAGAGTTTAAAAAAAAAAATTAGAACCTGAAGTTTGTGCTAATAGCAGCGAGGAGTTTGCACAACTAATTGGAGGCCATAGGCTAAGAGATGAGCTGTAACAGACATCAAATTTTTAAGGAGTGGAGTCATAAATATGCATGAGCTTCCATGATTGCTTTGTTTCAACATCAACTATTTAAAGTTTAAGGATGTCAGCAAAATACCACAGATCAGAATTTTTCACATTTAGGTAAATAAACTCTTTGCGTAGCAAGCTAAAATACATGGCTCCAAATCTCAGGTGCCTGGACAACGGCAGCTGAAGAGAAATGCCATATTTACAAAAATGCTGGGCATTTGTGTCTCCTACCTGCTTTAGTGAGAGCTGCTGAACACCCAGCATTCGCAAAAACCAAGAGACATTTCTGGGAGAAGGGGAGGGTGTGGAACTAAACATGGAGGCAAGGGCCCTGTATTCATATGCTCAGGTTTAGGGCTTAACTCTTATGTGATTAGTCATTACTTTTACATTAACAAACAACATATAAATTGGTGGTTGAAATATACTTTCTAATGCAAGGCAGTGTGTAAAACGCTTCTGAAGTTTAGAGGAATTGATTTACATAGGATTTCAGTCTTTAGGAAATGGATAAAAATATGATTGCTTATTGTCATTACGTTAAGAAAATAAAAGTCAGCACTTCAAAATGTAGCTGCAGGCATTATTTCAAAATACATTTGAGAAACATAAGTGACAAATTTTATTTTTTCAAACATAATATACCAGAAAAGTAGAAAGGAAAGTAGCGCTTAATACTAGTGAACTTGTGTACATACATATACATGTAATTTACAAGTACATCTCATATTGTGTTGAGATAGCTTGTATATTTCATGTAAGGTATATGAAATGTTCCTTCAGAACAGTGTTAAATCCCTTGTTTAAAAAAAGTAATACAGCGATACAAATTCAACCGCAGCTCTCAATTCTTTCTCTAAATTTTTCTCTTTTCTAGAGCCTTTACCTTGCATGTGGATATTGTTGCCATTTCATGCAACCTTTTGTTTGTATGTCTCTGCTGCTATTTGGAAAGGAAGGTTTTTTTTAAGACTAAATTTATGGGATACCTAGGCTGTGTTCCTTTTCAGATAGTGTTTATTAGCAAGTTTAAAGAAAAAAATCTAGAAACTCCCTATTTTTCTATTAAGATTCCTGTTAGTGTGATTAAAATATAGCCTTTTCAGGGAGTAAATTAAAAGCAGTTACAGATGTATATTTCCATGTGTGTATAAAACTGTATTTTCTTTCAAGTCTTTTTCACACAAAGTCCGTATGACGAGCAAAAATTAATCACCATTTGTATCATACCGTAATTTGTACCATAAAACAATGCAATTCCAAAAACTTATAGAAAATAGGCCCGCGCAGCATACATTTAAAAATTAAATAGAATAAATGCTTTGAATCTGCCTTTTCCCTGGAAGCCTGTGCTAACCCCACCCATAGCCACACCAAACGGAGAGCAACTATTTTGGGGAGTACTGCATTCCCAAGACCAACTTTCTGGCACGATGACGCTGGCCCAGTCGGCGTTTCTCTGGGCTGTGGCAACAGGAAGGCCAGGGGTTGCGAGGCCAGCTAACTAAAATAGTCCCCGGCCACGCTCCCTGTCTTGGGTTTGAAGACAACCTACTCACAAAGCACTTTGCTACTGCCTTGCTTAAAACTGCCGTAAAACTGTCTAGGAGATCTCACTAATCTCTCTAAACATAAATATGTTGGAGTATTTCAGTTTGACCGCCTTTCAGACCTAGGTCTCCATACTCTAGCTGTTTGCGTTTATGTGGTCTATTGTATACGTATACAAAATCTTTGCACAGTATTTGAGAGCTACACGGCAATTATGCAAGTGATGCATGAACTTAACATAAAATACTGCATTGGCTGTAAAGCTGGAGTAGAAACTGCTGTAAAATGGGAAACAGTGGATGCCCCTGGTTACAATGTTGGAAAGTGTGTGCACATATGGGCATGTTTTGTAAAATAACGCGGATATATGTTTACAAAGTTTCTTATTTCGTATTTTTTGCAAATCACAATGAAGTTGAAACCGAGCCTGGCCGACATAAGGAGGAAAGGCTTGTGTTTGTCTTTAATCTTTCTTGCAGCACGGTTCAGACTTCTGTCTGATCTGCACATAGCAGAGCAAGGGGCTTGCCGTGCATTGCGTGCAGGCTCCTTGATTGTGGAGGGGAAAAAAAAAAAAAGGGAAAAAAAAAACTGGCTGGAATCCAGACAGGCGAGCGCAGCGCTCTGTTGATCATTATGTCTAGCCTTCAGGTGTCTCAGCTCACAGTGGGCGGCGGTTGGGGGAGGGGGAGATAACAGGAGGGCAGACAAAGAATAAAAGGGTGTATTTAAAAAAAAAAAATCATATGTAAAAAAAAAAAAAAAACCTCACATCAAATCCTTTTTTAAAAAATGCTTCTTTTAACGTTCCTTTCACCGCAGTGGGAGCAAGCAAACATCTGTCCAGGAAGATTTATTTAAGCCATAATTAGTAGCGTCTGGAGTCTTTCAACAATTTCTCCTTATTGCACTTAATTTTTTTTTAAAAAGAAGTCTGCTCATCTTTCACTTAGAAACTGTTTTCACTTCATGCTTTATTAGAGATCCAGCCCAGCCAGGACCGAGTCAGATTTCTATTGTCTTTGCTTTTTCCCTTCTGATCGTAGTTTTCAGAATCTAACTTTTGGTAGGGGAGGAGGGTGAGAAGGAACCGGGGGGGGGAGGAGGAGACAGATCTTATTAAAGGTCTTATGAACACATAAGGGAAAACAAAACAAAACAAAACTACAAATCAGTGCTTCTGATTATACAGTTATCCATTTGGGTTCAATTTCTTTTCCGGGGAAAAAAAAAAAAAAAAGCTCTGCTTTGTCTGTTGCTTCTGTTTGAGAACTCTCATAAATCTTGCCCAGAAAGCAACTTGGGCTTAAGGAGATCTGGCCAGAAAAGCTCTGGGAAGCAATTGCAATGTCTCTTGCTATGGATATTCTCTTCTTTCTGCCCCCTTTGCCCCCACTGCCCCTTCTACCCCGACCTTCTGACGTTATGCTGTGAAGAGCCCCACACCCTTTCCCACCCCACCAGGAATTGCAGCGAATGCAATCTGCAATCTAGAGGTAGTTAAAGTTGCTTATCAAAAAGCCTCTCCTTGTGCTGAGTGAGTCCAGATATTAGACTAGTTGTGTTTTTTCAGTCCAGCCATAACCCGCTTCTAACACTCCCCCCGTTGGCTCGCCTCTCCCCCTCCCCCCGTGGAAGGGGTGGGATGGGAACCTTGCTCGACTTCATTGTTCCAAATCTAAGAGCTATTTGCCCCAAAGTGTCTTCGCTGTCTTTCATAGCTAATTATAATAACTGTCAGATGTCTGGAAAGTCTGGGCTGCCCTTGCTGGCGGAGTTAAAGTTTGCCTTTATTTTTTTCCCCTTGGGGACAGATCAGGCCTGATTAGACACAGAGTACAAATAAAAGTGAACAACGTACATGTGTAGGGCTTTTTGTCTTTGTTTTTCTTTATGAACAAAGCAGCACGCTGGCTATGTCAGGAAGCAGTGTGGCATGCAGCGTGCATGCAGGCACTGCCCTGGAGGAGAACTCTTTTTTTTTTTTTCTCTTTTTTTTTTTTTCTCTTTTTTTTTTTTTCTCTTTTTTTTTTTTTCTCTTTTTTTTTTTTTCTCTTTTTTTTTTTTTCTCTTTTTTTTTTTTTCTCTTTTTTTTTTTTTCTCTTTTTTTTTTTTTCTCTTTTTTTTTTTTTCTCTTTTTTTTTTTTTCTCTTTTTTTTTTTTTCTCTTTTTTTTTTTTTCTCTTTTTTTTTTTTTCTCTTTTTTTTTTTTTCTCTTTTTTTTTTTTTCTCTTTTTTTTTTTTTCTCTTTTTTTTTTTTTCTCTTTTTTTTTTTTTCTCTTTTTTTTTTTTTCTCTTTTTTTTTTTTTCTCTTTTTTTTTTTTTCTCTTTTTTTTTTTTTCTCTTTTTTTTTTTTTCTTTTATTGAAGCATGCAAGAAATATTTCTGAATTTGAAAAGCACTTTAGATACTTGTTCATCTTATAAGAAAAAGTAACCGTTGATTGTAGTGCACACAGCATTTTGACAATTTTAGGAGATTTCCTTTTCTGAGTGAAAATAAAAATAAATAGACCGCGTACTCACAGTTTCGTTGTGCTGTGCAGGTCGCTGTCTCCTCCTGCAGAGACAAGGAGGGTAGGAGGATGTCAAGGGTGCAGAATCCCAGTTTAATTCAGGAGAAATGTAAAAATGTGCTTCCTGAAGTCGCCTGGAAGTCAGCCACTTGTGCTCAGACATCCCATTGCTGCTCTGCACGCTATACTATCTGCAGTTCTGAATTGAACTAAATACTGCCCATGTGAAAGACAGGGGAAACACAGTCATGTGGGACACACAAATCCACTCTATTGGCTCCGAAGGAACAACTTCAGCATTCTTGCATTTCCACCATTGGTTAACAGTTCAAGCTGAAAGAGTCTAGGTCCTCCTAGTGAGTCCGTTTTCCCTTTATGTGTGGAAGAATGACTGTAGGATTTTACAGTGACAGGATTAGTTAAGAAAGGGACTGAAGTCATCCCTTTGACTGAAGCTGGTGGGTGGGGATTGGAAGCTGTGCTTTTCTCAAGTCGACGTTTTTCCGTTTTCTGCCTGCGTTCTGTGTGTCAGGAAATGCTTGCAGTTAACTTGGATAGCACAGAGAAACTGAAGTGATTTTCTTCAGATTCAGGGATCGACTTTTAGAGTAATATAGTGCTACAGACTGTATAATGATTTTTATGGGAATAACTCTGTTCTGGCTGGCTAAAACACAGTTGTTTTTTCTGTTCTAGGTTTTTTTTTTTAAGCCCAGAAAAGGCTATATTTCAGGATCATCTGACTTGAGTTTATGTATCACATAAGCAGACAAATGAATCCAGCAGTTCCAAAGCCTAGACTAATAATTTGAGTGACAACAGAAAATAGATTTTATAGAACTATTGGATCTCTGGGGAATATTATGTTGTGGTCATACTATTATTTTCAAAGAAGCAACAAATACCATAAAATCTATAATTTCTGATATTTGGTAATTTTGAGACTGATGAAACTAGAAAAACTAAATAGGAGGGGAGAAGATTGACTACTCCCTATTTTGGAGTTCTATCATTTGCCTGATTTAGTTATGCCAGAGTGAGCTGTAATTTGAAACGGTGCTCAGTCATGTGTGACATACTTCTCCAATTAACCCTTATTAAAAAGACCTTTCCCAAATCCCACATGCATGTATTCCTAGAACCATAGAAAGCAGAGGTGTGACAGATTTGCCAGGGCTTGTGTCCGTCCTCCTCTCTGGCCAGGTTTACCTCCTCTTCTATGTTTCCAGCACTTTGTTTGGTGTAGCTCTAAATACCCTGAGCATGTGGCTCCTGTTGGTGGACTGTTGAACTTGGGGCCTAATTTAGCAGTTGAAGGGCTTAACTATACTTGGAAATTTACCAGAATAATTATTCTGGAATAGTGAATTCATTATATGCCTGTGGTGTGCGCAAGGCCAAGCACAGAGAGATCGCCCTGCTGGCGTTCGTACAGCGTACAAGCTCCTATTCAGCGGCTTATGCCTGGTTCTGGGTGTCAGGACACCTTTTCATTTCTACCAGTCAGACTTTTTCAGACCACCTTAAAACAATGCTTCTTCCTCTTTGGAGTGCACTCTCTTAAGCTATTTATAGACTTTTATCATCACCTCACTGACCACCCTTGTCATCGCTTAGCTGAACACCATATTCCAGGTGTAGCTGCCTAAGATATGGGAATGTTCCTCTGCAGAACTGTGACCTGGTATTGCTTCAGCAAATCAATATTGGTTTGCTCAATATGTGAGCAGGAAAAAAATATATTTTAAAAATGTACTTACACACCTGACAAACAGCATTTCAAAGAAGATGAATACACTATGCGTTCTACTCTGAGTTAAGAAGGCAGCCTTGTAAGGCTAAGAAGATGCAGAGTGTTTATTTTTCTTTAGCAGGCTCACTTAAAAATAGTGTTTAGTAATCATATACAAAAGGTGGGGCGTAATGGTGGTGTTTGTTTTTTTAATCTTCATAAAGAAAGGTAATTGTCTGGTTTGGATAAAATAAGGCCACAGCAGTAGCGTCAAAACTTTCTCTCCTCCCTCCAAAAATGTTTTCAGCTCCACTGGGCTTTCCACATCTGGACTCCAGAACACTGAGGAGAGAGAACTCAAAACCCTAGGAGACATTTTCTTTTTTTCGCAGCGCTGGTGGTCTTCATAATTTTGGTTACTTTTTTTGTTGTTGTTTAATTCAATTAAAGTGGGAAGAAATATTAATAAAAGAAACCTTACTGCAGAGAGCAATAAAATCTTTGGTTTTAAGACCAGTACATGGACTTTTCTTAAATACATCTTTTTCATGTATGTCAGTTTCTGATTTTAAAATGCTGGAAAGCTATTTAAAGAGAGGGAATAAACATCTGAATTCATTTAGTATTGTTTTGCTCTTTTCCTCAAACAAATAATGAGTGAATTTTAGGAAAATATAGAGAACCTGGAGCAATGATTATTTACCTGCAGTTCTTGAGCCATGATTCAAAGACTTTGGTGATACAAGCAGATGCTTTTGTGACTCATAAATATTTCAGAGACCAAATTAATACTTAGTATCGTAATTGTCTGAAGCAAGAGAAGTAAGTACATCTCCACAGATTCATGTATTTCAGTGGACTTCTTATTTTCCCTATTATCTCTATTGTAAAGAAATCAAAATAAAGACTTAGGCTACATGGTGTTCATTCTCCTTGAATAATAAACTATTTCTTTCTCCGTTATTGGTTACTAGAGAAGAATACATAACTGTAAGAGCCAAAGAACGAGAGCATTATAAAATTACCACATTGTGGAAAATAACATTATTTTGCAGATACCGTCATTGTGATGATGCTTAAGATGTGAGACAAGATGTTGCTGTACTAACAGGGCTGTCGGAGTCTGGAGGCCATACGGTTACTGCTATTCAGTCTTCTGTGACTCCAGCCATTGACAGAATGGACTTCTATTTCAGGTTTAGGGTGAGGGTTTTGGGCTTTTTTTCCCCCGGTCTAGCAAAGATTGGTAAGGACATTTAAGTCCTGCCTATTAGGGGTCCTGTTTTAAGAATTTTCATCATCCCCTAACCAGGAACTCTAGGAAAAAAAAGAGATGATTTAATTAAGTTAGAAATGGTAGTCACTAAAATAGCTTTTTCTCGTTCTTTGGAATTATTAGAGAGCTTATGGCATGAGGGGGAAGAAGTAGGATGCCCTTGACCCTTTATGTATGGAGTGTATTCCCAAGCAACTTCACAAAAGAGCTAGGATTTTCTTCTTGTGTAAATATAAGCTCAATAACTATTTGGCGGGAGGAGGAGATTTGCCCCTTGGCTTCTTTTTAGCAATGCATGCTACATTTAGAAAGGCAAAAGTCAAAAAGCCAGATAAATTTCTTTCAGATAAGTTTAGAATAAAGGTAGTTATGCAGTTTGCGTGTTGATGTGTTGAATTATATAAGCGGATACTTCTGAAAACATTTTAATTGTTTCCTTAGAAAATCAAGTGCAATTCTATTGCGTCTACTATGTAGATTTCATGTTGCCCAGTACTTTTAAGCTTTCCATTTTTCTTTCTGTGGAAAATAATTGAACTTTACTGCGTAGACTGTGCATTTGCTTGCACTTTTCCAGAGAATTCTTGCTGTTCTATACACCTTTGCTTTTTATAATTCAGCAGTAGGTGGTATCTGCTAAAGTTTAAATCTTATATTAGTCACTGCTAGTAAAATCCCTCATGTTGGTAATGCATCAGAAAAGAAGAAATCAGTCAAAAAAACCCAGGACATACCAGGGAAGCTGGAAGAAAATGGAGAAGAAGTAAAGTCATTGAAAATCATTGAGGGCAGGCAAGTGGGAAAAGGGCACCCAAAAGCCATTTCATGGAAAGGAATTACCAGAGCCCGGAAACATATACATCACTTGCAGTGAGTGCATATATTCTGCAGATGGTTTTATAGCCTTGTTAAGAACATCCCTAAGCTAACATGAGTTTTTCAAATGCATCTGGTATAGGAGGGTTGTGAAGGAAGGTTTGTTCTCATCTCCTGCACCAGGAGGGGTGAAACTTGCTGAAACGCTGTCTGAGCAAGTCATCTGTGCTGTATATGAACCAACTGGCCAGGTTGCAGTATCTATCATTTACATCAAGAAAAATCATTAGCAAAGCTGTTAATATCATAACTGAGTTTGGGAGGCTTTTTGAGATTTATATTTTGTTTGTGGTTGGTTTTGGTTTCTTTTTCCAGCTGAGTCTTTTCTCATTCCTCCATCTCCTCTAGCTATTTATGTAGATAAAGTGAATGAAACCACATGAGATACTGGGAGGATTTTCAGCAGGTAGAGAGAAAGCTGGTATCACATTACTAGTGAAAATCAGGAGAACTTATTCCTGTTTTCTCTGCAGGCATTATTTCTGTTTAGAGTCAAGTTTCGGTGTATAACTTAGATAATTTGGCTGCAGTTTAACCACTACAAAATCCATCTTGGATTCAGTATGTTCTTCACCTATATGTGCTGAAATTCATGCATACTTTGAGTTATTAGTCGTTCTATATTTATAAACTTGATTTTGGTTACAAGACCGTTGATGAGGAATTCAGATCTCATCAACATTTCATTCCAATGAACTGATAATATTAGGAAAAAATCCAAGATTTTCAGCTAATCAATTCAAAAATTTTTTGCAAGGTTTATACGAGTGAAAATTAAAATAATGTGTTAACAACTGTGTTTGTAGGAGAAAAGTTCTAGATAAAACAAAATTTTATGTAAACAGTGGGTTGGTAACTGCAATATTGTTCAGATGAAATTCAGTGATACAAATGTTTTAAGGCTGTGCTATAGTTAGAGTTTCATAGAATTATGATGTCCAGAAAGATTTGATCAAGAAGGCGAGAACCAACCATGCTTTTAATCTGATATACCTCAAGTTCAAAATACATAAAATCTCTTGCAACTGTTAAGGTACTGCTGAAATGAAAGAAAATTCAACAATTTTTATATTAATTCTACATATTCCAGAAAATCTGGTGATTTCTTTCAAATAATTCTTTTTTTTCCTTTGGGTGATTTCCTCAATTTTATTGAATCCTCCCATTCTTATCCTTTTTCTTTGTTCACTTGTTCCCATAACTTCTTTCAGTATAAACAAATTATTTTCCCTAAAATACACAGGCTTGAAACTCAGCTGGTCTAGTTTTCACCAAAAATTGAAGGACTTTGTAGGGGCATTCTGACTTTGTGACCGTAACAGGTCTTTTTGCCTCTGACAACTCTTACAAGGTTATGTAGCTTTTTCTGGTTTCAGGTAAATTCTTTCATCCTCAATTAACACATAATAGTATATAACATATATCAAACCGCCACTTCCTTCTAG